AATTAATTACTAGTACGTAACTATATAGATAATATATATATATATAAATATATATATACACGTATCATTGTTGTTATGTAAAATAGTCATAGATATGTTTCACTTCACCTGCTTTTGTACAAATAGAATATATAGAAAATAAATATGTAGGCAGTATAAATGAATGGAGATTTTATTTTTTTATTTTACAGTATGAAATGAAATGGGAATCAAGCCTTCAATACATTTTAGTATCTTAGCATTATAGTACTTTTCAGAAAATGAGTTGAGTAGGGCCCAGTAGTTAGTGTGCCAGACTATAGGTCTGTGGGACTTGTCAAATTATTAAACTCAGGACAGTAATATTTCCTTTTAGTAAAAATTTAATTAAAACCTGTATTGTTCAAGTAATACAACAGAATACAAAATATGTTGCTTTGTTCAATGCCTTTATTACTAGATTAAAATTGCAATAGTATTTCTTTATTTTTAATGTTTTTAGTTTTGTATATCGTGAGTGTAAATATGATGTTCAAAAAGTTTTTTTTTCTTAAAGTAATAAAAAGTGGCATACATTCTTAGTAATCAGAGTATTGTTTGACTGTTGGTTAATAATACAGGAGGAGGAAAAGCATATGTCCTTAAGCAAGCCAAGTGAACCTGTTCCAGTTTCACCTGTAAATATCAGTCAGATGATTGGTTCTCAAAGAACGGAATCCGTTACTACAGTCAACTATCACATGGGTGTTGCTGGTACAGGCCAACCATCTGTAATCTATCCAAAGTAAGTTGTCAATTTTTTATTCATTTTTTAATAACTGAAAACGTATTTGACTATTTCTCAGTCATCTAGGGTAGGTTCTAACAGGTTTGACATGTCCTTTCACTGTTTATATAGGTGTATCTAACTATTTCTCAGCCATTAGGTTCTAACAGGTTTGATATCCTTTCACTGTTTATATAGGTGTACCTAACTATTTCTCAGCCATTAGGTTCTAACAGGTTTGATATCCTTTCACTGTTTATATAGGTGTACCTAACTATTTCTCAGTCATTAGGTTCTAACAGGTTTGATATCCTTTCACTGTTTATATATAGGTGTATCTAACTATTGGTCAGCCATTAGGTTCTAACAGGTTTGATATCCTTTCACTGTTTATATAGGTGTACCTAACTATTTCTCAGCCATCTAGGATAGGTTCTAACACGTTTGATATCCTTTCACTGTTTATATAGGTGTACCT